GTTAACCATAATTTTGTTATTATTTCATATTTTTTATTAGTCGACAATGTAAAACAATGTGTTAATTAATCGTGTATTATCAATGACAACAAATAATTATCACCACTAATTATCTTGCAGTATTCTCATACAAATCGATGTGTCGCACGACTTTTTTTTTAGTTGGCGATTCGAGCGCGACAAGCGCAAAAATGATGTGATATCTCGATTCGTATGAGAATTTTTGCAAAAAATACGACTAGAGTAAACACTCTAAAATTCATTATTTTTATATTCGAGACAATATTCTAAAAATAACTTTAAAAAACCCAAATTTTGAAGTTAGAAAAAAAATTCCAAAAAACTCTTCATTGTGGCATCACAGTGAGTATGCGTATACTATTTACCTCACACACTTCAGAAACACCCTGTATGTGTATTTATCCCCCTATAAGGTTTTACTTTTTAGCCCCTCATCGGGCAGTTGAGATCGTAATTAAAAGTCAGAACCCATGTAAGAAAAAAAAAACGAAAAAAAAAATTATTATATTACAATATATTGATACTGTGGATGTACCAAAAAAATAATTTATAAGTAATTGGTAATCGGCGGAAAAATTGTATTGTATTGACACATCACAATATAAATGATTTGGCATTGATTTACATATTATGGGCAATATTGGGTACGAATGAATGATTGTAAAACTTAATATTATAATATTATATTATTGTTCATTAGTCATTACTTTATTAGTTTATAGTTATACATAAAGTATTTATAGAATTGTATCGTGAATTTATGTTGATACCGGTTTTTCCAATAATTGATTACTGCAATAAACTGCGTGTTTATGTGCATAGCTACTATTCCATGTCAGGCTGCAGATCCGCGATCCTTATAATTTATAAATATTATTATATTTGTTATCTTTAAATAGGTAGGTACCCATATTGGTGTATTTTTATATAGTTATATTAGAATCATTCACTGGTTATAAAAATAATATAATATTATTTTATTTTGAACAATTCACAAATTTCTGTGCGTCTGTGCAGACTGCGAACAACGAGTGCATAGTGTAGACTGTCTCAGTGTCAGAGGCCACAGCAGTTAATTGTATTTTTGAGTACTTTTATTGTATACTTAGTATTTATTGAATATTTATCAAAATGTTCTGTATATTTAATTCAAAAAAAGCAAGCTGTGCAAAGAAGATAAATGACGAAGATGCACCAAAAATCCAGTCATTAATAGAAGTTTTGTCCGAAACACTATCACTCGGGGTAATATTTCTGATAGTTATTTTTTGTACATCAGTTTAAATTTTGTTTTTAAATTTTTGTTTTTTTACCATCAATTTATTATGGAACAGATTTTTGGTAATAATGATTCTATTGATCCAAAAGAAGTTGCTCAATCAACAAAATCAGAAACTGAACAAAGCAGTAAGAAAATGTATTCAGAAAGTATTACAGATACTAATACTATTGTGAGTGATTTGGCAAACAAAGAAACTGGTCCTGTAAAGCCGATTTTAGATGTAAGTTATAATAATTTATAAACATTATATTAATTAAGACTTAGTCCATAATATTTTTAATTATAAAATATATAGGTATAAACTATTCAATAGGTACCAAAGTAAAATATTTTAAGTTACTGTACTGTTTTTTTTATATTACCTAACTATACAGAATGTTTTTTTAAAACACCAAATTACAAACTAAAACCTATTATTTTGTATGTAGGTTTTTCTATAATTTAATGTGATAGTATAATAACTTTTAAATTTATATTAAGTTACTTATATATTATTTTTACAGATTATTAATGGTTATCTAGACTTATCCTATGGCAGTAGCTGGAAAACAAAACAGAACTTTTAGTGCAAAATATTTGAAATAATATACTTGGCTTGAGTACAGCTTAAAAAAAATGCTGTATATTGTTTTTGCCGTCGAAATTTTGGCTGTGGTGATGTTGATAAAATATTTACAAAAACTGGCTTTACAATTGTAAAAAGATATTTAACAAATTAAATGCGATTAGTAAATAAGGATATTTTAGAACTAAAAATATATGATGCTTAAACAAAATACACATAAATATAAATAATGTAGTGATATGGGGCTACAAGGGCTAGATAATTATATTTTATGTTAAATTGTTAAATAATATAATTTTAATCCTCATAACTTCCTTAAAAATTAAAATATAAATTATAACCTTTGAGATGCTCTAGATAATTTGTTTGCCTCAAAGTTTGATAAAAAGTCATTCACTTTAATATTTAAGCTAAAAATACAATATTGATTCAAACTGTAGATACAAATTTAGTAGCTATGTTGCTTACCTGTTTGTGAGTTAGAAAAAAACTCAAATGGTGCGCTGACACTCTCTTAATAGTAGTATCTATATTTGGTTTGTATACTTAATAATTTTCAATAATACCTATACAGATATTTAAATATTTTATGATTATAGTACAGTAAAAATGTATTCGATGCTTTAGAAGCAATTTATATACATTTTTCTATGCCTAATATGAATAAGAAACTTCAAGATATACAAGTCAAACTAAAAATGAATCCGGTTACATTATCAAGTATTAGTGCCACTCGTTGGGTGTGTAGGTATGAGAATTGCAAAGCTGTAATTGAAAACTTTAAATCAATTATAGATGTTCTACAAGAAGAGGTAGAGGAGATTGATGATCGTGATGTCAGTCGAGCTATTGGTAAGTATTACATTTTCAGTAGTAAATATTGACTTACCTATGTTAAAAACTGTATTTTATCGGTATATTTGCCATGATATCGAAAGAAGAATTTGTAGTATATTTACATATCATGAACTATGTGTTAGGTATCATTCAAATTTTGAGTCGTAAATTACAAATAAAAAATGAAACTTTAGGAAAAGCTGCTAATACTGTTATTGGAGTTATTAAAACATTTAAGGATAGTAGAAATTCAGAAAGTTTTTCAAATCTTTGGGAAGAAATTAAAAACTTTTCAATAGAAAACGGTATAGATTTGCAAATTGCTGTTAAATGTATGTTATTATTTACCATGTATCACTAATATAACCAGTCAAAAATGTATGCAATTATGAATAATATTATTTAATTTTTCAGTATCCAAAAGAAAGAAAAGAGAGGTAACACAACTAAATAATTTTGTGGTGAGCTCCACAAAAAGTGCTGTTGATCAGAACTTTCAACAAGATAGTGAAATCACTTCAATTTTTTTTTTATTGAGTTAAGGCTTCAACATTTATAGTCGTTAGTATGGAGATTAATTAGTAGGTTTTAAGCTGTGCAGGGGGAGGGTAAGCTCGGATAGAACACTAGTACATGTGGTGAGGATTTGTCACTAAAGCCCGAGTGGTCACCCATCCGGGAACTAGTAACACCAGCCGATGCTTGAGCTCAGAATACGTTTTGTGACCGAGGTCCACATCGGGCCATTATATATTATTATTTCATGAAAAAAACTATTCCCTATGCAATGTACTATAATATTATATTATTTATAATTTATAATAGGGGTCTGAATCAACATTTTTGATGTCCAAAATTGTAAATATTGTAAATATATTATTACTATTTGTTTTCAATATTCCAATTTCCAACGAATAATAACGATATCGATATAATTATTTAAGTCCTAATCGCTCGAGGTTCAAATTTTCAACATAATTATATATATATATATATATACATACGTACATACACTACATCGCTTATACAGCAGCTATACTCATAAAGATTATGCGCAATTAACTCTAAATAAACAGCTAGGTATAGCAACAAATTCACATTTACGGCTCTTTTTTTCAGTCGTGGTGGGAAGTCACCGTCACACTTTTAAAGTCCAAACGCCGCCGGTTGGGGACCGACGCATAATGTACAGGTACCCACCCACCCTGCAATGACCACCCACACGCGTCGACCGTCGTATATATACATTATACATACATAGCGGCTATGTGTACTGGGCGTTCGTTGTTAGTTGGCGCGTAAATTAGAAAACTACTTTATTTCCAAAACTTTTTTTCCCTCCGATTTACGTCCCGACATCAGCCGTAGGTACTTATAAAATGAGATACGGTGCGGGTAGTAACGATGGTTTTAAAACTTTCTAGTAATTTTATTCTGCAGTCGCCGTCACACGGATAGCATAGCATAATATTCTATGTCACTATGTCAGTTGTTGTTACCATACGGACGCATGCTCGCTGAAGAACATAATTTAATTCGGAATCCAGTGACGTGTTTTTCTGGGGGGGGGGGGGGGAGGAGGTGTCCACCATATTTGAGATTTCCGTATTAGGTAATAATATTATAAAATCTGATCAGAGATTAACACAATCGTGTAATTTTACATTTTTCATACCAGAAAAAAACACTAAGGCAATATCACAAATTCAAATAATATAAAGTTTTTCTACAATACGGTTTTTTCCTTACAATAATTATCTGATAGGTACTTCCCGTATATAATTTTTTTCCTACATGACTATTTCCATACGTGTTTTTATTGTTATCTATTAAAATAACAATAATGTAATATACCTTATGGTGCAGACATCAGCAAATAAATATTATATAAGTGTGTCATATAACTTTAATATTATGTAGGTGTAAGTATACGTCTAAATAGCTTTTAGTTTTTACTACTTCTTACCACAAAAATTCGATTCATTGTCAATATGAGATTACCTATACTCATTAGTCATTACTCAATGATATTGCATTACCTCTCTTTTTTTTCTAAATACAAATTATACAGTCTAGAACAGACATTGTGAATTCATTTTTTTTAAATTAGTACGCAATCGTGTATATTAACCGGTATTTTTGACATTTTTTATGACTTGAAAAAATATTTTTTAATAATAACCTAGAATGTGAAATCGTAAATATACATTCAAATTCAATATTAATTATTCATAACAAACAATTATCTAATTAAAAGTTTTTATTCATACATATCATCAGTAGGCAAGCCATAAAGATAGTAAAACTAAATATTTCTGTTTCGGTTGAGTGTGTATTTTTTTCAAATATATTCCGGTTCAATAATGGACAATAGTCCACCATGGTCGTTTGCGTATTGGTTCCAGTCCCTGCAGGATTTATCATTAATAATCCTTTGCATGACTTGAAAACCTGCAACGGTTTAATGCTATCATTTTAGTGCATTTCTAAAAAATAAAACAATAAAAATATAGTAGGTCCACCATATCAAATCAAAGGTTATAATTCAAATCTTATACGGTATTTTTACAAACAGCCACGGTTGTCTCACTATTCTCGAAGCCCATAACAATAATAATGTATACATCTAAATTCCGAGAGAAAACTACGATCGAACACGCTCTGCGTACTCGCGTGTACAATAACAATTAATGAAGATACGTGTTAAAATTATTGGTACCTATTTGTATAGGTACCGCCAGCCAGCCTTGAACCACGCGTGACCTCCACATGGTGATGTGATGTAGTTAGGTATAATATTATAATACCAAAATAGATGAACGGATCATCGAAATACCTAATAATAATTGTTGCAATGATTTACCAATATATTGTTACACGTTTCGTTGATGTCTGCACACTCTGGAACATGGCCTAGTTTATCTGTTCGAAAATTGTAAATCTGGGTCTTGGATCGCGTATTCTGAGCGACTGAGACCTTCTCGGTGATTAAGCGCATCCTCCCTAGACGAATAAATAAAAGTCCTGAAAAATAAAACATTTTAATTACTGATTGATATCTTCCGCAAAAGTAGTCCTGTCTTAGTTGTATCTTTTTGAAATGTATTACATATTTACATAGATACCTATTCACGAGATATATTTTTTTCCCAATAAAAAGAAAGTTGTAGGTGGCGATATTTTTGTAATAATATTTTTCTCAACATTTACTATTTTGTTTGTCCGACAGATGACAGTTCTGTATAAAGAGAAGGCAACTTTTGATCAATCAGTGAAATCATAAAAACGCCGCCACCGCCTATACCTTAAAGAGTTCACGAACATAATATTATTGTACTATACAATTAGTCCGAAACATGATTTCGATTTACCGTCCATATTCTATCATCAGCGATTTGATGGCCTGCGTTTTCATGAGTGGGTCCATTTTCCTCCAAAAATTATATACTGTCCTCCACCATATATTATTCTTCACAAAAAAAGGAATTCTAATATCCAGTTCCCTCCAAGTATTTCCTGGACTAAAATTATATCTTTTTTCCTCCAAGTATTAAAATATTTAGCCGGTATCATTAATGTAGTGTTGCGTACCGAATATTACAATAGGAGAGTAATAATTGTCGATAGCATTGTGAGGTTGTAACTTAGGCCTAATATACATAAGATACCTACATATTTAATCTTATTTATAATTGTTCATAATTCATAGGCAAACATTTTTTTCTGGTTAGTATGTTATATGACATGACTTTAAAAATAAACCTGTCATAGTTTTAGTTCCGCATTGGAAGAAAATGGCTACCGCTATTTTCCTAGCCTCCCAACTTTGCCTCTAGGATATTTTCAGATTTATTTTTCGTGAATATTTAAAACGCAGTTTGTAAAGAATAGTAGTTGGAATACGATGAAAATCAAAATTTGCGTCGTTGTCGTCGTCGGCGGCCCGGGTCTACTCCGCGTTAATTAACGCGCACTCTCCGCCGACACCGTTTTGAGCGGCGCGTGTCGAAAACGCGACGGCGGCTTGTACTCGGTATTATAATTTATAACTAATAATAATAATATTATTTTCATAAATATGTATACAGACGAAGTGTCCGCGCGACACACGTCGGAGATAGATGGTGCAGCGTATTATGTTAAAAGACCGTCATTAGTACATCGTTTTCGGCGCCCGACAAATATTCAAATCACTCTCGAAAGCGAGCGACGACGACGGATTAGTCTCGGACATTACGCCCGCCAGCCACGACCGGAACAAGTCGTTTTGGCTGCAAATCACACCGAAAATCGGACGGCCGTCAAAAGCGCCTGCATGGAGACCGACCGTGTCAACTGCCAAATTATTTCCACGACGTAACAATAATTATATAATATTATACACTTGAGAGGACGACGACGACGACGAAACATTATTATCGACCTGATCCATTACCCGCCTTCATCGTTATTACGGTCGAAGCTTTATTTTTCCTGACTCGTTAGCTGTTCGAATCTTTATATTATTATGATAATAATAACAATAATAATATGTTAAAATATTGATTTATCATTATTTACCGTTGGCGAGCGAATCAATGTCGTAGCGAACTCTGGTGGCAAACTCGTGCTTGTCGGACTCGGGCCACAGATGGCGTTACGTTGCCGTAAGTTCGTGCCACTAATGCTACTTCTCGAAGGTAGATAGCGGGACGGTTCTGAAAAAACAACACGAGTAGCGCATCATCGACTTCCTCCGAAGTTTTTACATCCTTGTCGTCGTCGTTCGATGACGTTTATAATATTGTAATTATTGTAATAAGTACATAAAATGTTACGCTTAAGACACGAGTCTATATAATTTTTGTTTCACCGTTTTTTACACCTTTTTTATTTTTATTTTATTACCTTTGTACCTATAAAATAGTAGTTTTTAAATTTGAGAAAATCGAAAACGGCGATCTGTGGCCCATAATTTCCCGTAATATTATTATACCTACAATCAATTAGACTTCCCTAATCATGCACGATGCACGTGATATAGGAATTCGGTTGATGATCGTATTATATATTTATACTTCCCGACTGCTAGTTTAGTAACGCGATTCGTAAACACATTTGCTGCGAAGTATAGTACTCGTACTCGAGTACGAATATCCTAAGTATTTAAAAAATTTACTTTACGTTGTTAGGTTCGAGTTTTATACTCCAACTAATAAATATTATAAAAATCAATAAACACACTGGCTACAAAAAATAACAAAAAAAAGAATGTCTATAATGATTAGGCCAGTATGAGAAAAATATAACGTGAGTTCGATTGACAGCTGATTTCTTGAACCCGAAGAATTTTCCATACTGTACAAATTATTAAATTAATCCCTAATATACAGAATATACATACACTATAAATTAAAGACATTGTTTGTGTGTGGATAGCGATCCTCAGCCAAGTCTATCGCACTCGTGATGGTTATGAAATTTAGTAGGTACATTGCAGGTAATCGCATATCTAGGAGTGCACCACGAAACCAATTTTTTTAATTTTATATTCTAAAAAGGAGCTTACACAAATATTATTGTTGGGTCGCGAAAAATGAATATTTTTTTACGTACTTATTGACCATTGGTTACAGGAAATAAAATAGTTATTCGATATTAGTTATTATTCAAAATAACTTTAGACCTGGGTGGCTGGGTCTTATATTTGGTCAAAACCACCCAAATTACTGTGGTGAATATATGAGTATAGTATTTCATTTTTAACTAGCAGTGTCTAACTTATAGTGTATGAAAAAATTATGTAAGTTCTGTACAAAATAGTTGAAACTTAAAATATTTTTACTCCTATACAAAAAGTATCTTCAGACGTTTACAACACACACACATTACAAACAATACCTACATCCATCGATCAGAATCTAAGATTAAGTTATCATGTCGTATCATGTAAAAGTGTATACCTATGTTCAAGTTTCTGCCCTAAATTATACTCTCTTACACCACCCTATAAACTGCCATCACTGTTTTCCGTAACAAATTTTTAGGGGATGTTTTCTATTTGTTAGAAGCTTCGGAAGAGCTGGGGGCCAAATCAACAAGTGCCGAACGTTTGAGTAGTATTGGCCATAGCCAGTCGGGAAGTCATCAAAAAAAATTCCATTAAACATGCTCCAATGTATTATTCGAGCGCTTGTCACTTGTTACTGCACTTTTCGGCGCCGTCGTCACTTTACTCTGCAAAACTTAAAATATATCTCCAGACTTAGTAAAAGTGAGCAAGTAAATAATAGTAGGGACGAATCGACACTCTATAGATTGTCGATAACCCTTGTAAGCGAAAAATATGTAAAAAATTCTTAATTTTTGCACACATATAAATGAGAAAATTACACAAGTGACATTTTATACATCATAATCAGGGTTCAAGACTAAAAGCATTTGCTTATTTTTTTATACATTTTTATTATTATAATTTTTTTTTTCAAGTTTTAATGTTCTTTTTCAAACGCTTTTATACTGATGAATTTTAAGTGCTTTAAAGCATGAACCCGAAGAACTCTCATCATAGTTTTATTATTAATGCAGATAAATCGTAGCATTTTTCAGTAACATGTACCTACAGCTATATTTTATTATTTGCGACAAAAACCCGAATATGTACTTCGGCACGTCCGTATGTGCATATTAATAATATAGGTGAACGAGCGAATGGTATAATTTAAATATCCTGGGGCCTGGGGGCCTACAGGACACTGGTTGATAGTGAGTTTTTAGCGGAATCTCGACTGTGTATAATATACCTATTAATATAATATTACCTATACTATATTATAGCCGTCGTGGGAGATACTCATCGTCGTGTGGAAACGATGTGCACACGGGCTTGAGCGCTCACTGACCGTCACAGCAACCCAGATTTAATTCGACCGTTAAATTGTTTTTATTTTTATGTTATATTTTATTACTATTATTATTATTGTATTAAAATTTATATTTTTTTTTCGCCTACCGATCGATACATATATTATTATTACTATCATAATACCTGAACCTACATAGGAGAAAAAAACTCACCTCACCGCTACAAACACTGTTCATCCGGCTGTGTACCTATAATGATAATATTATTATTATGCATACCTACCTATATGCTACAAAAGGTATTTAAACCGAGGACGTCAAATTGACCTCTGCAATAAATATTATCATCATGTTATACGTTACCTACGTTATTGTTGTGTCGGGCAGCACACCGCGACTTGATGCGATTCGATTTTTTAGTTTTTACAGCCCACGATAATCTATAGCGAAACCGATTTGGCTACTGAAAAACACAAATAATAGATAAACTCTTAAATAGTTTGTATAAACTCATAAGGTTGAATGTTTTAGCAATTAATCGCGATGTTTTTATTCGGATGCTATCGAATCGTTTAAATATCGCCCGTAAAAGGTTTTGTCGATAGCTGTGTTCATATAAGATGTTTATTAAAGTTCAATAACTTAATAAACTAGATAAGTTTTGTTTTTTAATAACTTTTTTACCTTTGAAGAATATATTATAGAATACGAATAACTATTTCATAAACGTCTTTGTTTCAACCATAATATTATAAATCGAAATCCATTGAAGTGTGAATGGTGAACCTCAATAAAGATAATTTATTGTATTTTAACACAACCGCATAATCTGGCTAGTTCATAGGTACCATCCATAAATTATACATATTGCCAAAAAGGTGTTATGTAGACGACAAGAATGTTTTTTGAATGCGTATATAATGTATATTATATTCTTTAAACGTGAACAAGTTAATGAAAAGAATAATTTAGGGTTAGTTAAGTTCAGTACTTGTTCGAACGTAGTTAAGTAATAGATTAATAATTACCAAATAATACACTAAATCATTAAAGTTAATCAAACTTAATCTGTAGGGGGGAAATATCAAATTAACCTGATCAAAAAAGCTGTTTTCTTTCATTAATTATTTATTGACTTATTGTTTATTAATTTATTAATTACCATCAGTTACAGAATTATAGTGGTTGTGCATCTTTCAATGTTTTAACTTATTTTGAATACCAATTACTTTGTTAAAAATGCATCTTACTAACCCACATTATTGAACACTGTGTAGTGATTTAGGCAATTACCTATAATATGTTTGTAAATACTAATTATTACTAATTATTAAGAAATATTTTATTTTATTTTTATCTAAAATCATTGTCACTGTCACTTTTTAGCTTTATCAACAGAAATTTCAAGTTTAGATTTGAAATGACATGATTTAAAACCAACCGAAAAAATCTAAGTTATTAAAATGAACAATATTAACCTAGTAATTGAGTTATTATGAGTACCTAAAATTAACTGGCTGATTAAAATAAAAAGTGAGAAAACAATAATTTTAACCTTTTTAACCTTTAAACCGTTATTACACTATTGCTATTTGCTAAAGCATATAGAGGATACAACAACGGTTCAATTATTTTAGTATTATACTTGCAGAGAGCCGGAGACAATCATCATCATTGTGCGGTCGTCGACGGTTATATTGTGTCCAAAAAAATGTCACTGGCAGTGTATTTAGTATGTATAATGTGTAATATATTAATTCTTACACAAAGACGTGGTCTATACGCAATTAACTGGATGATGTCATCGTCGCTCTACGACTATAAGCAGAAGGATTTTTCTTCGTTTGTTTTTTTTTTTTTGTTAATTCGATAAATCGAAAACTGGAACCGTCCCAACCGCGTTTAAAGCCCTCGTTGTTCAGAACGAATTCGGCTTGATATACGAAAATAAATACGTCGAATAATTTACTATTTCAGTGTTTTACGTTGGATTTATCTTCGCATCGTTTTGAGACGCGTATATACGACAATAACAATGTTACACATTGTTACAAATAATAATAATAATATAAAATATTAATATGCAAACCCGCGACTGTGTTCCTAAATACCTACCATCATTATTTCACAACAGTTTATGTGGTCGATTTAGCAGTATATTATTTAGTAGTATATTATCGCCCGAAATTAGTGAAATCTTAATTTGTTTTTGTTTTCAATTAAGTCGTCAGCGTCCAAGTATATAATTAATTATTTATGCGTTACTGTAATACACGGGAGTAAACTGTAGTTGTATGTGTTACACTTGCACATAAAGTGACTTTTTAAAAGTATTTTATTGCGTAACGGTCCCACAGTGTATTATATTAGTGCTGCTACAGTACATTATAACACGTCCCTACCAGCGATATTTGTTATTTTTTTTTAAACGTGACGTACTTATTAAAAATATTTTAAAAACATAACGCGCGAGCGGTAGCCTAATTTTGATTTAAAATCAATTCATCCGCTCGCGTTGGCCTAGACCCAGTTTCCACAAAACAAGAATGACGCCCACCGGAATAATATGTTTAGTGTAATATTGTCAGTTCTATATTATAATATTATATATACATTCATATCTGATACACGATCGGTTCACATGTTAAAGTTAACATATACTATAAACACTGTTATAATATAGGCAACCGAAATCGGTGGCAATAAAAAAAAATCGAGATCAGAGACCGACCGGACTGTTGTACGCGGCGACGATGGCCAACCGCGGATGAGAAATGTCGAAAATGAGCAATAGGTATGGCTTCTGGCTACAAAATTTAATACATATTATACACTAGACCACCCAAATAACGCGATACGTAAATATTATAATAGTCGTCGATCGATATAATATTGAAGGCATATCTGATTCGTATGTATAATCCACTTCGATAATCATAATATCTTTCGAGGTAGATTAATATATTTTTTTCGCCATCGTCACGCGTGCACATGAGTAATAAGACGTCATAATATATAAATGTATAATATGGAAATAATAATAATAATAATAACGGACGTTTTGAAAACCACTCGCCTAATATGACATCTCAATACATGCGTTAATTTCATAAATACAGACATATTATCATATCATGTCGTTTATAGTAAGTATTAATATTTAATGGTGCTAAGTAGGTATATACTGTATCAACTTGGACAATTTTCCGCAGGACAAACAGGTAGGTACTGCACCCGCCCCTTCAACGGTTATTGACCAAACAGCTTGCGGATAACAATTATTTAGGTTGGTGTAACGTAGAGTATATTTTTGAATATGACGTACCTATATCTGAAGAACGGCATGTAAATCATTTAACTTTATGTAGAAGACGCAAGTCTTTGGTTGGTATTAATCATGTACTCTAGTTTAATTCGTCACCCCTGCGAAGAATTCCATACAAAAAATAGCGTTTTATATATATTTTATAAAATTTAATTTACGTATACTAAATTATTAGGTATATCAAATATACAATTTCAACAAATTAATTAATATTATAACCATTAAATATAAGCTATGGTGTTGTTTGGGAATATATTTTGTTCACTAACTTTGAGCGGCAAGGATAACTTTTTTACCGTAGTACATTTTGTAGGAAAAAAGCTACGAGATGATGCCCTCGGATATTAATTTCATTATTTTTTATCACATAGGCGTTTTAGCTAAATCCAATAATTTATGACAGAACTACGTCTAGCCATTATTTCTGTCATGTTCCGCGTGAGCTAGACAGACATATACAAACCTACCTATTATTCGCATGACCGTTGCTTATCGACATTTAATATTTAGATTTATAGTTTTCACCGTTACTTTTAGAAGTTGTTGGTTGGTCATACCTATTATATTTTAATCTGCGTTCAATATTATGTTATTTACGAATTATACGAAAACGATATGTCAGTCTATAGGCATTCTTATAGTATGAAACCGACAAACGCGTTAAGAGTGAAATGGAAAATAATTGATTGATTATCATGTTTTAGGAAATAATTATTATGCGACCTTTGGTCCAGGCAGATTATACCATAATAATATTATTATAATACGTTTAAAGATAGGATTGTGTAAACAGTTCAATGTGACATTTATAGCACATTATATTATTACATAGTGTGTATATAGATGAAGGTACGCCTATATATGTTAACAACCTAACTCGTGGACCGCTTAATTTTTATACGTTTATTACTCGTTTTCTTGCGGCCCACGCCACTTCTAAACCTCGCATAATTTAATATACATTAATATAATATCGATATGTCAATGCGATTGTATTATATCGGTTTATTTCGCCTACACGGTTCGGATGGATTTTTTTTTAAATTAACTTGTCCGCGTTTAATAATAATTATGACGATCCTTATTCTCTCATTGGCACGCGGACATTTAATATCGCATAGGTATTATACAATATGTACGAATATTGTCGAGGGGACCTAGTTGTCGCTGCGGTACTTAAGGACGTTTCAACATTTCATAACCATATTACACCACATAAAAGCGTATCCTAAACTGCAGAGGTAAGTTTGTGAAGTCGGCATTACACGTGCAATATCTTACAAAAACCATTCAACAATATTATGAGTGCACATGGACTATAATAGTTGAACAGCTTTTGTTCGGTTTCAAGTGCCAACATAATTATTCAAACGCTAGACGGCATTACTAAGTTCAAAGTTAAATGTCTTAATACTGTCCACCCCATATTGATTTGTTGGACTATTGGACATTGTTGAAACCAAACTATTTGTATACCTAATACCTGTCTACTTAATTTTGAACTTTGTAATGCCAAGTATTGTGTTGCGCATAATAAGTAATAATACCAACTTCACGTATGTTACCTCACAAATCACATAAGTAATAACGCCAATCTTTCGGTTGATCAAAATGTTCCCAACATTGTTATCAACAGCAACAACAGACCATTGGATTTGATCCCGCATCAGACAATTTCAAGTCATCATAGATTATTACTATGACAGGTACTTTATAAAATATACAAATATGGTCACTGGAGAGGGGCGTGGGCCCCTCGTGCCCCTTAATTACGCCCCTGGACGTGTAGGTAATAATATTATACGTTAGGCCCGTTATTGTGCTATTATTCCGTGGGAATAGATAGGCACCATTGATATTATGATAGACGAACGTATATAATATTATAATGTTCTGTCACCCGCGGCTGAAGCTCCGACAACACAACGGGTAACCACACATCTGTTAATCGCATACCTCTATTATGTGTACAAATCCTAAACGTCGGTCAGTGGCGTCACGTTAGCCATACGTTGAAATCGAACCGATCGCTTTCCTTAGAAAAATGTCCGACCAAGCTACGTCCAAATCAGCCAATTCAGTTTTACTGGACTGAACGACGACTGAACGATTTCGGAGTTGGTCCTAACCGTGGTTGT